CAGTAGCTGCAACATGAGACAAATGTAGTTCTATTTAGGAAACAAGGTTATATATCTGTATATTATATACTGACTCAATACCTTAATCTCACACAATGTACAGTGTCATCAGATAGGATACAGTGAGCTCCAGTGACTGTTTATAACTCAACTGTTATAAAAATACAACACCTACGGTTTTTGTTAATTTATTAATTTATTTTAAGGCTGCAAACTATGGTAACTTGGTAAGAAAATGGATCTAGCTTTTGTTGTGCTGTTTCTGGAAATAGTACTTTGGTGCAGAAACAGCAGGAGGGTACTGGACTGGAATCCAGTATTGGGGTCTTTCTGTGTGGGAATTGATTTTCTTCCCATATTTGCATGGATACTCCAGCTTCCTGCCACCATCCAAAGACATGCATGTTAGATTTACTGGTGATTTATAAATTGATATAGGTGTAAATGGTTGTCTGCCACTCTGTGTTAGACTGTGATAGACTCTGCCTCTCACTGCATGAGCACTGTGTTAACCTCCAGCCCCCCATGACCTTGAATTGGATAGGTGGAAGACAATGGATAGATGAATATAATGTAAATTGATGCCATCAACAGGTTTTTGGATTGCAATTTTGAAGCCTTGTATGGTGCATTTTTGGTCTGGCTATCCTGGTATAATTGGAGCTAGTCTATATTTAGACAGCACGGTTGACCTGGGAACTCATCAGCTAATGGTAGAAAACCACTTTACTTGGCTAAGAAGGGTCATCTGTAAATCTTTATGATATTAAATGGGGTGCTAATTTTGGCTACTTAATTTGGGCTTAAAACAAAAGCTACGTACCTGAACTGAACATTACGGTCCTGGAGTCTCACTCATCCGTCAATGAAAATAACCACGCCCCTAAATCTAGAATAAGAAATAGACTCATCTGACCTGGAAACCTGGTGAGTCTGTGTGAATTGAAGCCTCAGTTTCCTGTTCATAGCTGATGGGTGTGGTCTTCTGCTGCTGTAGCTCTTGTGCTTCAAGGTTCAATGTTTTGTGCATTTGATGCTCTTCTGCATAGTTTGGTTGTAACTTGGGGTTATGAGTTACTACTGCCTTTCTACAAGCTGCCTCTCTGTAAACCCTAGAGATAGCTGTGTGGGAAAATCCCAGTAGATCAGCAGTTTCTGAAGTACTCAGAACAACCTTTTTGCCATTTACAGCCATGCCGTGTTCAAAATCACTTTAGTGACCAGTCTTCCCAATTCTGACGTTAAGTTTGAACTTTGTCTTCACCGTGTCTACGCGCCCTAAATGCTGCCATGTGATTGACTGACTAAATCTTAGTTTTATAAAGCAGTTTAACCGGTGTACCTAGTAAAGTGTGCGGTTTAAACACTTTGCGGAATATTTAAATAAGAGAATTTAATTCCCATTAACCTCTGTACATTTGTCATGAATAGAAAAATTGACTACGGTATACAGACCAGAAATTTAAATCCCTGTGGGGGGTTGCGTGCTTTTGGAGGCATGCCCAAGTGGCCCTTTGAGGAGCCGGGATACTTTATGGGTGGTATTTGTCACTAATTTACAGTTTCGATTAGGCACAATTAAAAAGGCCATGTTTTTTTTTTTCTGGAATTCTTTAAGGTCACTAATACACTGATGACGAAGACACGACAACGGCTATATTTCAGAATTCTTCCAAGTCACTTTTATCCAAACAGCCCTGGGTTATCAATTTTTGACTTTCATTTTTACAACTCTTACTGAACAAATCTGGGGATGTTTTTCAGGTATAAATTTAACAGCAGATAGTGTAGGGCTTAAGGGATTAAACTGCATTGCTGTCAGGACCTCTATAGTAAAAGGGAGGTTGTTATTTCCATCTGCAGTAATTTGTGTTTGGCTCTGTTCCCCAACTTTTCATAAACATGCAGAAAGCCAGACCAGAGGAGAGCAGCAACAGTAAGACCCGAGCAGATAACAAAGCAGCCCTCATACTGACAAACAGCTATGACATCAGTAAGGTCAAACACACATGAGGGTGGAACTAGGAAGGAGGTGGGTTGCAAAGCAGCTTGCTTGCTCTGGGTAAACAAAAGAAACTTAAATAGTGTGCCCTATATAAAGCTTACAAACTGGCTGAATCTTTTGTATCAGACCAACTTCCAGAACGGGATTAAATTTAGTAATAACCAAGTAAATTTACTTACTGTAGTGCTACATCGAGGTATAGTGAAGAGTTAATGGTACTTTTGACAAATTCCATTTTATTTCCACATATCTTCATTTCAAATTTATAACACTTTTTACTCTGCTGCTTTTTTAGCTTTACTTTCTTTGCAGATTTAATAAAGGATGTGATAGGATGAGGAGCTCAAAGTAGAGCCGCTGCCTCTCCAAAACGAAATGAGTCAGCTTACATGGTTTAAATATCTGTCTAGGAGGCTTCCTGGACACTTCTTAGATTAGATATTTCAGGCCAACAGGAAGAGGGACCCAGCGAGACCTGACACTCGCTGGAAAGATTGTCCCTCGGCTCGCTTGGGAATGCCCCGGTGTCTCCTCTGTAGACCTAGACCTAGAGGCAGGGGCTGAGGAGGGTGGTGTGCTTAGAAAAAGGATAACGGATGCAGTCAGGAAATTAATCATAATACATTACTTGGTTTAGTGCGACTAGCAAATTATAAAGTAGCAAATGATCCCCATTTGTAACAGCTGCACCACGGATGAATGATTACACGCAGATGCAACAATAAGCATAATCTAATTCGGTGTTATTGTGAAACAGACTACCCTGCATAGATTACACTTAAGTTGATTTTGATGCTTAATTGATGCTCATACTCATGATACAGTCATATTTACTTTAACAGGGAGACGCTGGCATTATTTTTTTTTCTTAATATTTTCCTCCCACACTTTTTAGAGTGCAGTATAATACAGAACTGCAGCAAATCTTCAAATTTGAAAAAGTGTAATTATCAGCAAATTGGCACTAATTGATTTGACATAACGATTTTTTTTAAATTCTCAAAGTGGTTAGTATCTAACTTTCTATTAAGTGGCAGATCATTTCGACCTTTGTTCTTTTTTTCTTTTCTTTTTTTTTTTGACTTTATGTAATTTCGGCATTACGTAAATGTCACCTTAACGTCTGAGACCTGTATTAGTATGCGTTTGTCTCCACTATTGCATTGCATATCATAAGAGTCTCAGATTCTTTTGCATCATTTCTTTCTGTTAGAGTATACTTTGAAGTTCTCTCCAAAAGCAGCATTGCTGATGGTGTGCGTGCTCTGATGAATGATTTAGACATCTGTCTGTTAAATGTCTCTCTTTTTTTTTTTTTTGCAAGAAGAGATGGGTATGAGCTCGTAGGCATACTGTAGCTGTCGCCGCGTCAGGGGTAATGAGGTGAGATGGGCTGCAACGAAGTGCTCAACCAAGCAAAACAAAGCCATATGTTTGTCTAAAGGTGCCGCCTTCTGGACTGTTTGAGATGTCATTGTTGTCGAAGCAGCGTGTTGTGTGTATTTGTCTCTGTCTGTTCTCTTGTTCCATCAAGCTCACTGTGTGTGTGGAGCAAACGCTAAATAAATGGCAGTCAGCAGCCACTCTGCTTCAGGCAGTAGCCCCGTTCCTTTAATCTTAGCCAGCCTCTCCCCCTCAGCTTTTTTTTTTCTCCTTGTCTCTGACTAACCACTCTTGACAGGGGAAGTGCAGAGAGGTAGGCTGCCTGTCGGCTACAGGGCAAATTTAAACAAACGAGAAAAATAAAAGAAGGAATACAAGACAAAAAAAGGGAAAAGTGACAGCTCTGGTACATGAGAATAATTACAGACTAGAGTGAAATTAGCACAGGCGAGAGGAAGGGAAGAATAAGGAGCACCGGAAAGAGCGGCAAAAGAAGAATGGAAATAGGTGCGCAGCTCGAGCACTTTTCTTCAGGTTATGGGAGTTGGTGGGAGCTGAGGGAAAATGCTGAGCATTGTATTCAGAGTCTAACAGGTGTAACAAATTCTAGGAGGTAGTCATTTGCAGAGGCAGCTGCCTATGTAGCTGCTGCTTTTAGTATAATAGAAATATGAAGAGGTGCCCAACAGGGACTGCATCCAGAATGCATGTGTTTGAAATGTAGAGTGGGCAAAGTAGAGGGAGATGAAAGAAAGAGGGTAGGCGAGAGCTGGATGCTGTCTACTACACTCGATATCCCTCTGTGGTTTTTCCTTAAAAGTGTATCTGAACTGGAGAAAAATTCCACACAGAAACTTTAAATGAATTTCTTTCTGTGGTGAAGCATGTACATTAGTCTTAATACATCCTGTAAATACAGCCTGTAAATCAAGCATAAAGCAGCAAGAATGAGCACTTGCATTTTGACAGATAGCCTCAATTTCAATTAATAGGACCATTAAAGCTCAGAGGACAGGCTGATGGGTGCATTCATAGCCGCTGTGAGCAAAGAGCCAGTTCTCTCTGAAAAACATCACACGCACTTACTACAACTCTTGACATGCGCACCCCATCGCATCAAGACTTCTCCCTCTCTCAGCATTAACGGCAGACAACACAACAGCACACTCAAGGATTACCGCGAGAGGATCCGAGCTGATGGGGCCGCTGGCATAATTGTGATAAATGACGGCCTTTCGTCAGTGTGCCGCTCCATGGAGCAAAGAGCGCGCTGTTGTGCCGAGAACATTTCGGGAGGCTTCCATTCGCTTAACCAGTTCAGCATGAGGACAACATAAAAACATGCAATTTCCTGTGACTGCACAATGAGAGCTGATTGACTTTAATATAGTGGAGGTTTTGCAAGGAGGAGGCGATTATTTGCCTCTGAGGTCTCTTGGACTTGAATAATTTGGACCGACTCCTTCTGTGTGATGTGTGTGTGTGTGTGTGTGTGTGTGTGTGTTTGTGTGTGTGTGTGTGTGTGTGTGTGTGTGTGTGTGTGTGTGTGTGGGTGTGTGTGTGTGTGTGTGTGTGTGTGTGTTGTGTGTGTGTGTGTGTGTGTGTGTGTGTGTGTGTGCGCGCGCGCGCGATTTTCTGCCAATAATGCCTCTTTGTAATGGCCAATGAACTGTCAACACTAGGCGACTATGAAATACTTTATTAGTTTGCGGTCTGTCCTGGAGGTGTAGCTGAAAACAGCTGTGGAATAACTTCACAGTATACACATGGCATATGTCCAAGTTCCACATGGTACACATAATGTGTACGAGAACCGAGGGGCTCGTTGCACCATGAGGAAACAAGGCACTTGACTGTACTGTACATCCTTTACGCCTGCCGCTCTGAGCCACACTCCAACGTTTGCCCGGCATCTTGATAAGTTTGTGAATGAATGGATTCACCCATTTTTGAAATGGAATTAAAAAGATGATTCTTTTTTTATATATATAAAATGAAAAAAGACATTTGACGGTTGGATACATGGCTGGAATGAATGACACTTTAGGACAAGAAGAGATCACAAAAAACACGAGTTTTAAATGCATTTTGAACCTCTAAAGGGATTACTTACATTGGTATTCAGTCTTGGTAAACAATTTAGTAAAAAAAGAGCTGTACTGTACACAAAGATGACGCAAAATGCTCGATGCCCACCTTTAAGCCCAGCCGATGAAAGATTGCATTACTGCAAACAGCGTCTTTTGTAGCTGGCAACTTGACTTGCGTACATTTTGTTGTTTGTTAAAATTGCTGCTGGATGATTTAAACAGGAAACGTTGACACATTTGTATATTTGCCAGATGTTGAAGTGAAGTCTACCTAACTCATGTGCATTTAAGTTAGATAAAACATGCCATAAAAATTGTAAACAATGTTCTACGGTGATGCCCGTGAGTCTGCAGGTTTTCACTCCAACTAAATGACAAAGTGACTGATTCCTCTCATTAACATTTTCTTTCAGACAAGACAAACTAGTACATAATATCAATGAGAGAACAACCTTGGTGCAGGGACCCTGCAGAATATATCTGGGAAGTCATGGGAAAATTAAATCTATTATAGAATACAAGAGGGGGGAAAAAATCTGAGATCCTCATCCTATTACAATATTGTGAAAAACTGTATAATTGTACCTCTTCGGGCATGTAAAAAAAGGAAATCTTAAAGTAGAATCACCTGCAATCGTGATTAGACTTTGATTTAAAGGGTCATCAGGTTGGACTGTGCATTAACATACTGAAGCACGGTGAAGAGTTCTTAGTGGTAGATGGCTTTTGAATGTTGGCTCTGTGGTATTGAAGGAAAAAAATGAATCACCACTTCTGTGTATTAAAGTTTTCCCTGTTTCTCTGCACTGTGAAGTGAAGTGAGAAAATGTACGCTGAAAGGTCAGAAGCTGTGTTTTGGCATCTAATGGTCTTTTGGCAGAAGAGAGTCGAGTCTGATTTTTTTTTTTTTCCTGAAACCTCATGAATCTGTGCAACAAATTTCTGTTTCGCGCCCCTAAACAGCTGCAATGAATCAGTGATAGCAGATATTTATCAGGAAAGCAGAATTCTTTAAAAAAGGGGGGGAAAAAAACAAATCTGACAATGCAATTCCACAAACGTGATGACAGCGAAATCAAGATTAAACCACGATGAACAATAGCAGACTTCAGCACACATTTCTGAAAAAGTCTTTACAATCTGACAGATGGGTTCACAGTGTTGACTTTTAAAAATACACATCCACAAATCACGGCACTGCTTTTAGAGTTATTCTGAGCACAACAAGATGTGCACAAAGCCAAACTTGCCAAATGCAATTCCACAGTTCTGCATTATAACCTCCGCTGTTGTACTGAAATTCAGTACAGTTATCTGTTTGGATGTGATACCAGCGTGAATTTTCACTGTGGTTGTGGTGCACGCCTGTACGTACGCGTGCACGTTCAGAGTGATTCTCTAAAGTTCATGGGAGATGAAAGAGGGTCCTAAAGGCGTCGCTGTGGGCTCCAGGCTGACGTGGGAGAGCGAGTGGCTTTGAGAATGAGACAGTGTGTGATAATTAGAGGGAGGAGCTTTCCCCTGGGCCTGGCCCTCTCCCTGCTCTGTACCCGTGTTTGGCAAGGTCGAGTCTCCCGGTTCTGCTCCTGCCACAGTCCCGCCTCCTGCAGCACCGCGCTCCTGTTTATGTCTCTCCCAGGCTGAGTTCAGCTTCACAGCCAGAGCCAGCAGGTTCTTGCCCAGAAACACAGTGGACACGCGGGGGTCCCTATACCACAGCATCCCTGCACCCCTCAGGGCTAAGGTGAAAATATTGATAGTGACCAAGCTAAGCCAAGGGTACAAAGCCTCCTTGCGGGGTCCTCTCTGTCCTGGCAGACCAGTGGCTCCCAGCTCTGTGAGTGCCACACACGGCAGCAGCAGCAGGAGGGCATAGCAGTAAAAGAAAACCAGACCCTCAGCCCAAATGGGCAGCCTCTGCTCTACAATCCCTCCAGTGCCGGCTGCAGACCCTCCTTGGGCTTCCCACAGCCCCGCCTGCAGGTCCAACACATCCAGCAAGTCAACCACCACCCAGAGGAGCCGGCCCCGCACCTCCTGCTTCCTCCGCTGCGGAGTCATGTGGTCAGCTCCTGTCAGGATGAGAAACAGGGAGGGTAGACAGATGGACAGCAGCAGCGTCAGGGTCTTTCTGGCCAGAGGATCAGGTGGCCGACGCTCCTGCCTGTAGTTGTGGCAGACGAAGAAGAGCTTGAGCTGGAGCAGGGACAGGAACAGGAACCAGAGGGCGTTGGCAAATCCACGCCGTGGCGACCGCGCCTCAGACACCACGCCAGCTGAGACGAAGCGCAGCGCGAGCAGGAAGCCCAAATCGCCCAGCAACACTGCCACATATTGCCACACGCTAGGTCCTGAAAGACCCCGAGCTCCCAGCATGCTCTGCTCCAGCAAGTAGAGGTCCACCACTGCCATCGTGCTCACCGTGACCAGGGTTGATACGCACACCTGGGGCGTAGGCACCATGCCTGAAAGAGAAATACACAGATGCACTGTGGGAAATCTGTTGCATCGACAAAATTCAGAGTCTGCTCACATCGATGTGCTTGGTGCCATCTGTCCCCAGTAAAGCCGACAAATCTGCAGGATAAGAACATGCTTGTTTTTTTGTTTTTTAATTCCTCCCCTGAAAACAAACATGTAAAACAATTTAATGCTGGTTGCTATGGTTAAAGACAATAGCTGCAGAGTAAGCAGTGAGAACCCTTCATCTTTGGCCAGAGCTACATCCACCCTGGCTGCTCAAGCTGGGAAGCCTATTAAATTGTTTTTTTTTTTCCCCTCTGCAGCTCTTTGAATTAAACAGTCTTCTTTTTCCATAAAAGGCCCTAACATTGCTGCTGTTTCGGAGATCAGATTTTTTTCCCCCCGAAGTTCTCAGCTGTTACTTTTTTCTGTTTATTGTTTCTGATCCTTTTTTTTCTCAGCTTATTCATTATTAATTAATTGCATTCAGGCGCAGCTAGGTGCCCTGTCAAAGCCTTTTCTTTGTCTCTATAGCGTGCCGTGTTTATTCTCATACTGTGCTGCAGCCTTTAATCATCCCAAATTCCCCTATCATTTCGGATGAATATTGATATTTTTGCTATTTGTTCAGAGATGCGATCGTCTCGTGTCGTTGTGTACACACTGTGCATTCGTGTGAGTGCAGGCTGGCAATGCTAATTTGGCTGAAAATGAGGTTTCACGTTATTTTGTCACAGCTCCTATCTCAGCCACAGACAGTATAAACCCCAGTATTGATTTCAGCATGAGAAATAATCACTGACTTTACAGTGCAGTCGAACCAATGTCTCTTTATCGTATTTAGCTGAAAAGCACAGCACACACCACTGGACTGTCTGTTATCTGCCCAGCACCACTCCCGGGTGTCAACCCATCAACCGGATCGATGGCATTATAATATAAAATCATTACCAGCTCAGATGTGTCCTAACGGCAACAGTTGAGCGTGATCGAGCGAGAGATTGTCAGCATGATCGCGGCCTCTGAGAAAAGTCTCTCCGTGAAAAATGTGTATTGATATCTTGCCGATGGAAGACACATCACTTCCCCCACTGTAAGACTAACAGGAGCTCTGCCATCATTGAAGAGGGCTGAAGAACTCCACTGGGTAAAAAAAGGGTTTTGAGATAGTGTGTGTGTGTGTGTGTGTGTGTGTGTGTGTTGGGGGGGAGGAGAGTGAGAGAAAGAGGAGAATAAGACTGCAAGTGAAAGATTAATAGGCCTTTTGGCTGTCTACATGCCTAATAAAGTGTTACTGCATGATGGTAATAGTTCATAAATAAGCTCAGGGGGAGAGGGGGGGGGAAAGCGATGAAGAAGGAAAAGAGTCAAATGCAGATAGAAAGTGACTTCCACCCACTTACATGAACGCGTGCGTTTCACGAGCCTGCTCGGTCTGGATGAATCCAGATGCATTCATCACGGCGACTATTGAAGAATCACAGACATTAAAGGTTTGTTCTGAATCCGATGAATCAAAGAGATGAGGAAAGGAACGATCTCGACTGATTAATCTCCCCGGAGGGACGGTGGGAGGACAGGCGTGGATCATGCCAGCAATGTCTGATTGTCTGTGAAGCCTTTTGTCTCACCGCACACGGAAACTTGATTATCATTTCCACAAAATTGAATAAATTTCACCAAGCCGCAGATTGAGAGGATATTGGAATTTAAATTTGTTTCCTGGGGGACAACCCCAGCCTGCAAGGAGAGGAGCAGGAGGAGGAGGGTTGAAGAAGTTCAAATCTACAGTTGCAGCCGGCTTTCAGGAGGTCGTGGCTTTCGGGTTATTCCACAGGCACCTTAAATTTTTACCCTGCAAATCTATCCGTCAGCCGGCGTTTATGTTTTGACTCCCTGTCAACGGGGTGTAATTTATTCTGCTCTGAGTGAGAGACCGGGATGACAGCCCGCGTGTCCACTCAGCTCATCAATAATGACCAAATTCATCATTCTGCTGTCTGGGAAGTGACACTGCTGTTGACAAGGTGAGGCAGCCTATTCCACTGTAAGCATGAGTGATGGCACATAATAGTGTGCAGCTTAAATATTTGTGTATTAGCATTAAAAATCCATTTTTTCCCAGAAATGTATCCACCTCTTGTCTTCCTCACATAAGGCATGAGTGCACACCCTGTACACTATTGAATAGGTAATCATCCAAAAAGCACTTCAATTCTTTCCAACACACACACACACTGACGGAAATGAAGCAAAGGGGGTGGGGTTGCCACTTGCATTTGTTTCCTATTAATACTAGGTGATTCCCGGTTGAACACAAATGCATGTAGAGCAAAGATTAATTTGTCTGCACCTACAGATCATCTCCATAAAACACCCACCGCGGAGCAGTAATTTTCCTCACAGACAAAAATTCTTCACAACTTATCACAGGTGGCACAGGAGCACCAAGGGCATCGGGACAGCATCTGAGCCATTATGTGCAAACCCATTAATTAATAGAGTCAGAGGTGAGCAGCCTCTGATAATGCTGAATAAATCCTCTCCCCAGACGTTAAAACATCTGTTGATTTATCAGGTAACAGCCCCAGAGTTTCCCGACGGTCTCTCTGTTGTATTTCTACACAGTTAACACATTTTTCTTTTCTTTCGGGTTGAAATGTGGTTATTTGGAGCTGCCCAGCACGCAGCGCTGCCTTGAGACGTCCTGCATCCTTTAACGATCTCTATTAAAGCGCTTCTCTGCAACACCTGTTTCATAACCGCCCCATTAACAGCAGGTATTGTGGCTTCATCCGAGGATGCCTGTTAGTAAAGTAAAGCAAAGCTTTTAGTTACCCAAACCATTCGTCTTGCACTTGGGCTCGATCTTCCTGGCTTGATTTACAGCAAGTACTGAGGGGTTGTTTTTTGTTTTTTCCACCCCGTTTCCTCCGCCAAGTAGAAGCGCTGTCGGTGACCAGTAAAGTCTTTTTTTAATTTTTTATTGTCGCTGATGAGCCGCGCTCGGCGATAAAAGTCTTATTCTCTCAGCACGGGTGTTTGTATACAGTCAGGCATCAGGAGGGGGGCTGAGGGAGAGGCTGTAAGAGGGCAAAGTCACCGCTACTGCCACACCAAGCAGACTCGAGTTTGAAGGAGCAGAAAAAAAGGAAAAGAAAACGAAACGACTCGTACTTATCAAGATTTCCTCCTCCGTGCAGATCTGGCATGGCAAATCTCTCCTTCTTCGGGCTGCATCCGCGGCTGTTGCAGAGGCTCGATCTGGGTCTGTCGCCTCCCGCAGTGTCGGAGTCTGCTGCTGTCGATTTATCTTTTGAAATAGCAGCGGGGGCAGAGAGCCGTGCAGGGCTGCTGCTGCTGCTGCTCGGCCGGGCTCGGGCTGTGCGGAGCAGCCGGGAAGTCGGTCAGAAGTGGAGCATCAGCGGCGAGGCGATCCCGGCCGATGCTCCCGCGAAGATGGCTCGTGTGAAAAGAGGCAGAGCGGTGCAACAGCGAGGGGAGGACGAGGAGCAACTCACTCACGCTGTGTCCGAGTTTGGTTGTGGTGGTAATTTGTAAGCAGGCTACGTGCTCCAGCACAGACCTCCCACCCTCCCCCGGTTTCCCCTCCTTCCCTCCACCATCAGCTGTGGAAGTTTATCTGGAAGAAGATGCAATGCATATTTTAGAGCACTCTGTCACACCACAGTCTCTGCTTGTGGTAATAATGATGATGATGCCACTTGGAGAAGATTAGTTGCATTGTTTGCGAGCAGGCTGATTCCTTATTTACCCTTCTTTGCCTGAAATAAGAGCGGAGGAAGTGGAGCGAGAGATGCTTATAGCCTGTAGACGCATTTAGAGCTCAGAAGGCAGATGTTACAAGTTTAATTAGGCTTCCTTCTGTCTGCTTACTGTCTTAGTCACACAAGGAAATCATTCCTCTGTTGTAGATTAACTCATTACAGCCGGCTTAAAGAGAAGGATTGGGAATTTTCTGGGACGGATCTGCTCAAAAATGAATCGCTTGGAAACTGTTTAAAAATACAAAAAAAAGGCGTGTGGCTCATTTCCATGTTGGAGAATTCAATTTCAGCTCCTTTGTCAGCCGCAAATGAAGTTTGAAGGAATTTCACAGTGTCACGTTGTCCTCAAGGTCTTGCTCCTTCGAGTGTATCTGTTGGCACCCCAGCCTGCACTTTGAGCAAAGGCTCGGGTCCTCGGCTCTCTCACTCATGTGGCTCTCAGCGTGCTGGGTTCATAGAGTGAGAGGTTTAATCAGACTGGTGAGAAAAGGGATGGAGAGTCATCCTTCTTGTCAGATTCAGCTCTGCGCTCCGCTGGCTTCCAAGAGAGAAGAGATTTTCCATTTTCCTCACTTCAGCGTTGGTTTTTATGTGTGTGTGTTCCTCACCCCTCCTTTTGTTACCACTGCCTCTCTGTCACCCCTGTTCTCATGTTTATCCTATTCTCTCCTCCATTCTGCAACTAACTCCCCCACCCCTTCTTTCTTCTTTTTCTTTTCCTTCCCCTGTGGGTGTGGTTGAAGGTCACCGTGCACACTGGCTCACTTTCACAGAGGAAAGAGGGAGAGTGAAGCAGGAAAAAGGACGAGGGGAACAGTGAGAATAGCAGAGGAGCGGGAAGGCTGTCCACAGTACTGTGCACTCATCACTTTTTTGCTTAAGACATGATTGGAGAAGTTTGGAAGGACACATGGGCTCGCAGACTGTCCAAGAATGCTTAAGGCGTCAACAGCGAGCCATGGTCCGCATGCTGACCTCCACAAACATGGCTTTATCCTCGATGTCATCTCACGACCTGAGACGTGCTTGAAAAGAATGCACCACTTCTATAATCAAAGTCAGTGCAGCAGCAGCAGCAGAAGCAGTGATATTGTCTGTTTTATTCCACACATTTGTCTTTCTTGTCAAAGCCAGCACCTACATTACCCACAATTCAGCTTTATTGCCAACAGTTGGGATTCAGTCATGTTCTGCAGGTTGTGGCTAATGAAGCCTGGAGCTGCTGGCCCCCAGCAGAGATGAAGAGTGGGCTGCACAGGTTCATGTTTCCCTGGTGCCACATCACCACATCGCTTAATCTTTAAAGTTCACTACCGCCTTTTAACTCAAGAGACATCTTTGCGAAATATAACTCTTTGGTCATTTTTTTTAATATATAAACAGTGGACAGTTTCAAAACAATCAAGTTGGGTTGTTGTTCACATGTAGAATGCAGGAGGAGGCATGCTCTCACTACTGGCTCCATTTTTTGTTTTAGGCTGCCTGTGTAGAATGCACAGGGGGCACACACTGGCTCACTGCGAGCTCACGACAATTACCTAATCAATTCCTCCTGGTTGTGGACGTCACATGGACTTTGTAATGAGGAGCTGGCTGCATAAAGATCATTAAATGTCTGCTCTGGCCGTGCTGGGCATTTGTGTTCTCAGCATAGCTGGATATAGCCTCCGTGAACTCACTGGATAGTGAGCTTCACTTGTGAGGCATTGACCTAAGCCTTGCCGGCCATCGTCTCCTTGGTGTTTTTGAAAATGAACTTGAAAAATGAGAAGCAGCTGTGACAGAGGCACACTTGCAGAGACTTTTCCATAGCAAGCTGCCACGCCCTGAAGCTAACTCTTTGTTGTTTGTTCTACATGCAACCAATGTATATTTGCAGGTTGCAAGGTGAAGTTGGTTGCAAAGACCAAAACAACAACAAAAAAGCCTCCCTGTGTTTGCTTTACAGGTTGTCATACACACCAAACTAATCTCCAAGCTCTAGAATTGAGAGAGTTGGCCTTCAAAGTAAAAGTTTCACTCTTTGAAATGTCTTGGTTTCAGCAGTAAGCAACAACTTTTATTTTGAACAATCACTTTGCAAGTAGTTGGCAATTGTTTGCAGACGAGTCTTCTACACAAACTGCGGGCAAGCACTCCAATCTGCTACTAACCAAGGCAATTGCAGTGAGTTTTTTGATGCAGCAGCGTATATATCTCTGCCACAGAGTTTACCTACTGATAGTCAGCAACTTGCGCCAACCAGTTGTGACTCCCCAGTCGGGAAATGCACATTTCTCCCTACAGATAGGTGGCCCCCAGAGGGTCACTAACTGGTCTGTAGGCCTGCATGATTGTGGCTTAGTAATTGAATCCAGTGGTTCCTGGAGTTTGTTTCAGCAACCGATTGCAGCTAGTTAAGACTACTCATTTTTCCCTAGCAACCAGTGTTTGGTAGGAAGGCACCAACTGGTCTCTAAGCCTGTGGGACTGGATGGGCAGTTAATTTTGTTTTGGAGGGCCGCACCAATAAGTTGAACTCAATTCTGTCCAATATTGTTTCAGTTCACTTATAAGCGTATTGGTGCGGTCCTCCACAACAGTCCCATTTTTTTTATGGAAAGATTAATTGCACAACCTTAGAAGACTTAAAATTAGGGACCGAAACCATAAAGTCATCAGGAGGTCACTGATCAAGTGAACAAGTTTTCTTATCTCGGTATACTTTTTGCAAAAAGGGGAAACCTCTCTTTTCTGGCTCTTGGAAAGAATGCAAATTTAGATCAATTGCACAATAACTTTATCTTTTATATACAGTCTGTGGTTTCCCCATCCCGCTGGGTAATGTCTGGAAAAGTTCATGCCTGCAGTGCATGTGCGAAAAATGGCTTTTATCAGCATTCGCCTTTAAATAACCCCTCTAGAGTGCAAAATTCAATACTGGCTTTCTGAATACTCCACAAGGACAACGCTGCTTTTGTCAAAACATTGCTATCAGTTTTTGCTGCAGTCTTATTTTATTCCAGCCTCTGATTTTCTTTCTCTGAGTGTTTTGCCTCCACATGTCACGGTGTCTTGTGATTTTTCTCCAGCGTGGAGCCACAGCTGCCTGCAGTTCAGGCTTCCGCGTTCTCGCTGTAGTCTCCACACGTGATTAATCATGTGAAGTGGCAAAAAGCACAACAGTGTCAAGACTGTGAGGGGGACCTAATGGAGTTGAAAATGGGATGTTTTGTCGTGATGCAATCCATTTTGTCGCACCGCCGCCTGCTTTCGCTGTGCCCTCAAACAGCAAATTCTTCTTCTTGTGCCAGGTACAAAAAGTAAAAGCTGTGTCTATTTTAAGCAAAGAGCCACACAGCAAAAACACCACTGAGAAGTTTTGGCTTTTTTTTTTTTTTGCTCTTTGTAATTTGGTTCACTCTGTCAGTTCTGCACTCGTGCTCGTTTGAGGAGCGCTCCTTAGCCCCTTTTGTGCGGGCCTGTATCCTTGCCTCAGCACAGTTCACTGGAGACTGGGGGTGAAAATCGTTTTTATTTTCCACTTTTAAGACTAATCCACTCACTCTGCTGTGGAAAATCAAGTAAAATGCATGTCCAGCGTGAACTTAATTTAGTTTGTGCTGTTTGCTGTGTGCGGCTGTGTCTGTTAGACCTAAAGTGGCCTCGTGCTCAGCCTCTCGCTCTCAGTTACCCTGCAGCGGAGGGGTTCAAGATGAAACCTAATCAGCTGTATGACGCTACAGCGGGGCTGAATGTGATAAAATGCCAACACCGGAGCAGATTAAATGAACGAGTTAATGAAGGTAATGAATGAGAGTGTTTCACACTGAAGAGTTTAATTAACCTCGCCTCCCACCACCCTCTCTCCACTGTAACACCTTTGTCACTGTATCGCAGCCCTCTTCTGTGCCGACCACACAGGGGCAATTTATCGAATGGCCTCTTGTGCCAGGGGCAATAAATCCTCCGTCCTGCCCCAAGGCCTTAACCTGCATCCGTACCCTTTATCTCCATGTTTGCCACGCTTCCATAAGCACAGTACTTTTCTTGACCTATTCCCTCTCTCTTTCTCATCTACCTCCAATCTTCTCCCTCCTCCTCTTCCTCTTCTCTTTTTTCTTTCTTTTCCTTTGTCTCATTTCTTCTTTTTTTTTTTTTCTTGTTCTCTCAGATGCAGAAACACCTGCGACCACACACGGTGCGCACTTCCTCACCGTCAGCAATCCCTGGCAGCTTAATCTGCACACACACTCACTCTTCAACTGATAGTCTCGTCAGATTAAAATGAGGCTGAAATATTCATGCATAAACATGCATGCACACTCACCCATATTTATGAGGACCTCCCACAGCCTTTGCTTTACTTTTGTCCTATTGTTCGCTTCAGACAAACAAAACCCCCTCTCTGTGCTCAAATATTGAACACGATAGTCGGCCACATTCTGACAACTTTAATACACCTCAGCTGTCTCGCTTTCTCTTTCTTTTTCCCATTCCCATCCCTACTCTTCTCTCTCACTCACACACACACACACACACACACACACACACACACACACACACACACTATAGTGCCACACCAGTGCTACATCTTGTTAAAAAGAGTTAGTGAAGCTGAAAGGCCAATCACATTAACACAGAGAGTGTCAAA